AAGAAACACACACCGCCTTAGAGACTGTCACACACCTGTTTAAGCATATGGAGACGGTCATAAACATGTCAAACAACACAGCTCCAGGCATGTCAATATTGTCCTACCTATTGAAAAACACACCCCATAATTGTAAAGGCACGCTCGGTCATGCCGGAGCTCAGTGAAAGTTTAGGCTCTTCTGGTTGAGTGCCAAGCGTAGCGTAAGCTCTACACCAGCCCTGGCGCCCTGCCTCCGAACACCCACACCCATCACCCAGAAGAGTCACCAAAGCGGCGAGGTGGAGGGACTCACCCGGACGCGATGAGGGCCCGGGACTGTGCCAGAGCGATGCGCTGCAGGGCGGGACGGCTCAGTCCTGCCAGGCTAGCGCGGGTGGGCACGGGGGCGCTGAGGACCGAAGTGGCGGAGGACGTGGTGGCGGTGGTGATGAGGGTAGCAGTGGGCACCACGGGGACAGACGTGGCTGGCTGCGGAGGAGGTGGTGGCGGGGGAGGGGGTAGAGAAGGTGGAGGCGGCCGGGCTGAGGACTGGGCGGCTGAGCCGGAGGAGTCCGTGCCCGGTGTGGAGCTTTTACATGGCGACTTGGAGTGGGGGAGGGGCTTGGGCAAGGTGTGTGCGTGGCTGCTGGCCATGCTGGGGCGCCCCACTGTGGCAGACTTGGGGCTGGGTGGTTTCTGTGAGGGCCGGCGGCCCAGCGTCTGAGCCATGGACCCAGTCTTGATGCTCAGGACCAGCATGCACTGGGGGCAAGTGCAGGCCCGACCCAGCGAGGATGCCAGGGAGGATTGGGGTAGGGTCCTGCTGGGGTATCCGGCGCCGCCATTCCCTCGCACGCCTGACACTCCGACGCCCAGGAGGCCGCCGGCTGAGACCGTGCCCCCACCAGCCCCTGCCGCTGCCCCCCAGGCCCGGGGCAGGGGTCCGGACACCAGCGGGTAGGCCATGTCCGAGCGTCGCTGGATGCGCCGTCGCCGCTGCGTCTGCCGGTTGATCTGGGTCATGCTCTGGAAGTCGATGAGGTAGCAGAAGCCGAGGGGCGTCAGATCCAGCCACGGCTGCTGCCGGTCCCGCGCCGCTTGGATAGCGATGTTCACCTCCATGTCGTACGCCGTCCAGGAGCCCGAGTCGTTCTCCCACTCCCATAGCCAGCCGTGCCCTGGAGCTGAAGTGGGGTCATAGAAGCTACGCCGCACCGGCCTCAGGGTACCTGCAGGGGGCGGTGCAGGCAGCGGTAACAAAGGAGTGTGGGGGGAGGAGGCGGAACCCCGTGCAGCTTATATATACTTTCACACTCAAACACACTTGCGGCTCGTAGCATGATAATCCTTTCAAAATATAAATACTTTAGGCCCACAGATCAAGAGACCAGAGATCTGTGTCCAATGTAAGCTGGTTACCCTAAGGACTCTCAAAAGTACTACAGAGACATGAGGCGCCACAATAAGTGAAATGTAAATGGATATTTACACATTGAGGAGAAACTTCAACAACCCTTAACGGTACCCCAATTCCTAGTATAGCCCCAGACTTACGAAACACATTTTTTACCATTGGCCTGACAACTGAAGGTCCCACTGTTATTTTTTTTTGTTCCCTTTTAAACAGTCTGCTTCTGGTTTGTTTCGGGACTTCTATGCTTTGCTGTGCATTGCCCAACCCCCTTGAAGGGAGTTTGCTGCAGAAAAGTTTATTTGTTTTCCAGGGAAATCGTCCCCAGTGACAAATAAACGGGGCCGACTGAGAAATCTCAGAGCCACGAAACATTAAATCTTCCGCCATATGTTTTTTTGTGCAACAAGAGCACATCTTCGTAGACACATCGAAATATGATTTCTGTGTCTAAGTTTTACAGCCTCATTAATACTCCGCACATACAACCCAACCTACCCCCCAGTCTAGATCTCTACCTTCCATGAATAGCTAGTCAGCTGTTCCCAGTCTTGGTCTTTCTCTCCATTTTCTTTTCTGGCTGGCTGGGGGGCGCAGGGGATGTTTATAATGGCATCTCTTATACGAGTGGGGGAGGTGTGGTCTGCACCGAACTCCAGACACTCCCCAAAGCCATTCATTCACTGGATCCCCATTAACATTTTTTTCTTTCATAGACACCCAGACCTTTATTTGTAATAAAAAGTCTAACCCAGGCTCTACAGTGCGCACCCCCCCCAAAAAAAAAAACATATTGTGCTTTCCTACAACCAACATGGGCCAAAAGTGTTCTTTCCCTACACATTCCACATTAAAAGTTAAGAAATATTGAAGACATTCAGATCTTTATAGGAAAGTTGTGTTAATGTTTTCTTTATCCACAAAGTCCAGGGGCTAAAATTCAGCAAACTTCTCCAACTTTGATGGAATTTGATGCCATCTCTCATGTCATAAAACCTACAAGTTAATGCCCACCCCCCCATCCACTGGACGCTTGCATGCACTCCCTCTTTGTTCTGTACATGCCACATGACCACTGGGCGATAGACACGTAGCGTGGTTCCGCTTATTCTGGGCTAGCGGTGGGCCCTTGGCCGTCACCCCCTGACCCCTTCCGGGGCTCATCTGTGCAAGCGTTTGTCTGGGCGGGATTGTCACACGCAGCTGGGCCAGCTGGGACACTGAATGATTCCAAGCAAACACAAAGGACCAGTGGGTGTATGTTGTCCGGCTCCTACTCCCTTTACAGCAGCACCATTGGCTCCTGCGGGGGTCACAGGCCGAGCCCGGCTCGCCATAACTTGCATTCTGCGTTACTCCCGTGGGTGTAGGCCGCCCCCGTTAACTCCCTCCAAAGCTGACAGCCCTGGCTGCACATCTCCTAAACTGGGGCCACTGTCTTTCCCTCGAAGACAACGAGAAGCCCTTTCATCACTGCTAAGGAGGCAACATCTGTCTGACGAACCCAACAATGGGAGAGGCCATAAAAGCAAAACCCTGTTTCCTCCTCAAGTCACTGCACCATCAGCTTTGGGAAAAACATGCACTAAATCTCAGAGCCTCTAAGAGTATAAAAATGTTAACACTACTGACAAAACAATAATGGTTTAAGACAAATGGATCCTAATAATACTTTCAAGAATTAAAATTCTGCTTTTCTACAACAACACTGTTAACCCAAGGTTAGAGACCAGTGCTGCAGTACTGATAAGGCAAAAATGAAAACAATGAAATTCAAAATAAAGGTATAATTGGGAGTCAGTTTCATTTAGGGAATTTTGTTTCTATCCATTCTCTTGATTCCCATTCCAATCCTCCAGCAGAACAGCTGCACTTGGAATTTCCCCTCTAATCTGGAAAGAATTTCCTTTATTGAAAACCCAAAACCCATCTGCTTCAAGCCGTCACATTCAAGCCGTTTAAAGCCCACTTTACAGATGAGTACTTAAAATTTCCATCGCCAGAGATCATTCATTATTTTTTTTTTTACATCATCCGATTCATTCTCACTTGGGGATCAATAAAGTTTATACAAAGTTGACATGCATTTTTTTTGTAGTTCCACTGAGGTCAGTGTAATTAATTTTTAGAAAGTCACACGATCAGAAGTGGCCGAAAATAACACTTGGTTGGCAATAAAACAACGCAACAATGTACAACATAGGTGTGCATATGTAATACACGGGAATACAATCAGTGCATCACACAAAAACTCACCGTCATAAAACATAAGCATAATAAATGGTGTGTGTCTATATATAAAAACACATTTTAAGGCCTTACCCGTGTCCTGGCGGAACTGGTGCATGGACTGCAGGTCTATGATGTAGGGGGAGAGGCGGGTGTCCACCTGGCCCAGCACCACGCTTCCGCCGCGGGGGTCGCTCCGAATCACCGCCTCGATGTGCTGAGATACGGCCGGGCTGTAAGGCCGCCAGCGGCCGTGCTCGTTCATCCATTCCCACACCACCACGGCGGACGCCAGTAACATGCCGTCCCTGCAAGACACGTCGGCCTCCCCTTCATTAGTCGGGACTCCCGTTCATGGTCGCCTCCATTAACGAAAGGTGCCTCGCTGCGTTTCTGCAAACGTCTCCCGATCGGCACATAACAGGGTCACCTGATTCCCAGTATCTCAGGCTGTCGTGCTAATAAGAAAGCCGAAATGAAATCAAACTCACATTTAGGATACGGATCGAAACCGCTGTTTTGGACGTCGCCCCCTTTCCCCCCCTCGAAACGCACAAAAAAATTGCTTCCCCAGCGAATAAGCATAAAAAGTGCATAAAGGACACACGTGAATTAGCGGCTAGCTGCACACATACCAACAAAGAAAAAAATAATCTGGCTTGGGTAGCTTTAAAATATTCTCTAATTGTCCTGCGATTGTAACCTTAGACAAGACAGAAACTCGGTATCACATACACGGTAAGCGCGTATCATTATTACATGCGATTCCGTTTCTTTTTCAAGACACCAGCTACATACATTTCCTAGGTATCAAACGGCAATCAGGCTTAGAGATGCGACCAAAATTCACAGCAGTTCGGTCATCTGGGTGGAGGGAGCAGCGAAGACACCGAAACCACAGTGCATCTAACTGTGACTCACGCATGAAAACACGTTTGTCTGGTTTTAAACTATTTGGCAGTCGTTTAAAAAGGGGCACCGTGTCGAGAGAGTGTCTTTTTCGGTTAACTATTAAATATCAGCCATTCATCCGACTTCGCGTTACATTTAGCGAAACGAAGCTTATTACCCAATACAGGGGAAGCACATCAACAAGCAGGCAAAGTTGCCAACGATGGGAATCTGGGGAGGAAAAAGACGATGTGAAAGATCGCAGTTTGGGGAATTGAGAAACGCTGATTTCAGGCGTTTGTATCCCTAGCTGTCCCCATCTGTAACAATCCGCCACTAAAATGCAAACATCGGGTTAATTTACTCATAGCCAAAAAACACCATATACAAGTAAACATATTCACCCGTAGTTTAAACCAGATCCTCTTTGGGCGGGGGAGGGGACCGTGTGCTGCTCCAGTCCAAGTTGTGTCCCCGCTCAAAGCCAATGCAATACAAGCAAATATGTCGGATTCTCTGTTACTCCGTCAGCCTGCTCCATATATGACTTCTATATCCAGTTTTCTGCAATGCTTCTCGTGGTTATAGTAGTATATTGTTGCCACTCCACTGCAACACGCATTAGGAAAAAAAAACTGCAATCGTATCTTCCAGTAATTTCTTGTTTCACTGCCAGTGATATTGAAAGGGATCGTGGACTGGGGAAAGCCCAAATTCTATAAGCAAAAATGGCATCGCGATTTATAATAAATGACCAGTGGATTTAGCATAGTTCCCTGAACATGTTTATTTTTTGGTCAATGAAAGTGAGAGTGACCGGAGATGCTTGTCTGCAAGTCGCCAGGCTCTCATCACCGCCGGCGTAAACAAGCCAGCAGCCAATAGCTGGAGTCCCGCCCTGGATAAGCCTCGCCCATACATTATATTAAAATTCAATTAAGAAATCGCCTACAACAGTGAGTTCAGCTGGGTGCCAGTGCAATTCCGTTTCTACCAAGTTTCCAGATTTTTTTTTTTTATTGTTTCGTGTATTCGGGGAACTCTTATATTCTTCTGCCACAGTTTCGGGGGATGACAAAGAGCCCTGCAATCCTAGACAAGACAGTGCAAGACCAGACAATGCAATATAAGGATAAGACGTGATAATAAATAATTACCAGCCACTCCCAACTTTCAATCCACTCGCAACCAAATAAAGGAAGTGTACAGGGTATTTAGCTGTTTTAGGCAGTCAAATAAAAACACCGACACAACAACGAAGGTCTAAATTGTATTATTCTAAATAATCGAATTTTTAGACAAATTATTTACCTGTTAGAAGAAAAGGCTACTAACCATAATTGACGTCATAATATACTTGTGTATTATAAGTAACAAGATCACCCAAACCACGCGGGTCATATTCCTTATCCCTCCCCCACAGGCAATAAAAAGCAGGCAAACGGAACGGGATATGGAAGTTGGGGCAGATGTAAAAAAAAAAAAAGTAATCAAAATTTAAAAAAAATATAGGTGTTAAAAGAACAATGATAAACAATTAAAGATAATGGACTGTAAGGTGTTTGGATATAGATTTCAGGTTTTTTTTTTCATTTACTTAGAGACGCCCTCTGCTGAATATAGGCACCTGCAGTAACAAACCCCCTGGACTCTGACTGACGGCCATCCAATCGCCGGCCTCGAATTGTTCGGCTGGATCTTCCAATAGGGGTTGGCTAATATAACCGACAGCCCCTGGAAACTGACAGGTGCCGAATATGCAGTTTTTCAGTAGGTAGAATAGGTACATTTTGTTGTAAAGCCAGTTGAATTTAATAAGTTTGTGCGTCCACAGTAATATACGTTTTTTATGTCTGTGCATCTAGATCTGGAGTAATTATTTAGAATATACCATTTATGACTTATTTAATTGCATTTTATGAGGAATACTGTAGGCCTAAGGTTTCGCCAGTGGTAAGCATTTGGAATGATTCTCCCGCAAACTCTTTGTTTGATAAAGCATCCATTTAAGTTTTGACCTTTCCGCGCATTTCTCTATCACGGCTACATGACACAGGTAGATTCACCTACCGGTTAAACTTTAAAACATTTATCCTGCCTAATTCTTTCTGCTTCCTTTTAGTGTCTGTAGAAGTGCAGTGGTAATTCTTATTTTCTTGCTTAGATAAGATGGGGCAAATATTGCCTGAACAGTTCCATGGAAACCAAATTCTGAAAATCTCTATCCTGATTAAAAGCAAGTTTGCAAACAACAACAATAGCATATAATTGCTACATGCAACTTTTAAATGTTTTGCCGACCTGTAATTAAAAGAATAAATACATTTAGGCCTATGCTTAAGAATCATGTATTTTTTGTCTTCAATCATTTAACCGGCTGAAAAAATGCCCCGAAATCAACGAATTTAAAAGAAAAATCTTCAGGAATTGGAAAAAGTACAACAGTACTTGCATCACAGCAGTAGAAGGTAAATCGTCGTTTTTTCAACATTTCGACCTTAAATTATAAAAGAATGAATTAACACATACAGCCAAAAACGAAAAGTGACATAGGCTATGTTTAGGGATTTGGGTTTGTATAGGGGTTTGAAAAAAATTGTGCACATGTCAGTCATCCCCTCCATGCGAATTTGCCAGAGTTATAGCCAAGGAAAGTCAGCCCTCAGCCCCCTGCCATTGTATGCGAGCTTGGTGGGTCGACTACAGAATATAGCGAGAGTACCAGCACGTTTGTAGATCGCGGTTTCTGTTATTGTTATTAATTTATTAGCATGTTATTGCTCATATTTATATGTCTGTATAATTTTTTAAAACAGAAAACACACCAAATGCTGGATTTATGTAAATGCTGAATTTATTTTAATGTAGGCCTATCTGTTTGGGAGAACTACTCGCAGTCTTGGAGTGTTTTTTCGTATTTTGATCGGATGCATCAAGGGTACTACTAAAACCTCTCACACAATAAGTAAACTTTGAATCATTTTAGTTATAAATAAAAGGAAAATACGTGGAGATGCCGGGGATTGAACCCGGGGCCTCATACATGCGAAGCATGCGCTCTACCACTGAGCTACATCCCCCACAACGACATAAAATCGGAATGAAGTTATATAATACGGCCGGAAGACATTTTCTTTGTGATTTTTTGTTTGTTATTCTGGTTAAAACTGTACACTAGTATCCACAACGTAAATGCAATCAAGCGAAAAAACAGTCATGTTTGCCATTTGACCATATACAATTCTGGTATGTTCGTAAATACTGGCGATAAAGTGCGTTCTGATTCTTAAATGAACTGTAAATAAATGTTTAGTATCCTCTTTTCTTACTAATGCTTAACTCTAAGATCGAAATCACATATATTTTGAGAAAACATCTGCTGATTTCTACAGAGTATTTTCATTACCTTGTTTGTACCCCATTTTATAACAGCCTCTTGCCAATTTCAAAATCATATGAAGACCTACATACTTTATAATGCTGTGCGATTCTATACTCTGTACATAAAACACAACAATTTTAAATGTAACGTTTGTTCATTACGCGATAGATACGTATGTTTGATGAACTATATAATGTACAATTCCAAAATGCTATGCATGTTGGCTCCATAGCTCAGGGGTTAGAGCACTGGTCTTGTAAACCAGGGGTCGCGAGTTCAAATCTCGCTGGGGCCTTAGCTTTTCGACCAAAATAAGTATGCTTTCTATATTGCGACCAAATGGCAATTTAGTCGTGGGTAATATGTAAGTACTGCCTTTTAATTAAAAACGACCTGCAAGGTTTTGGATTAATCTCTAAATTTCTTTTTACTTAAGGATTCAAATTAACTTAGTAGGGTAATAGTAACAGCAAAAGAACTCTCCTCCAAGAGCCCGGATAGCTCAGTCGGTAGAGCATCAGACTTTTAATCTGAGGGTCCAGGGTTCAAGTCCCTGTTCGGGCGCACTGTTTTTGGTGTTGAACGCCGGTGAAACCGGAGTCTTGGCCCCACTGGCGTTAAATTTACCCCAAAAAAATGTGTTTAGGAAGGAAAACAGTGACTTGCATACACTGGTCTGTTTTCCAGCCAAATAGATAATTGAAATTGTGTATACAAAAGGCATATGTTTCATTATTTAACGGTTTTGTTTAGAACAACAAGAAATATTTTTTATGTTTACTTATATATAATTTACCTTTAGCTGAAGATATCTTACAGTTTCCCAAGCTCATTTAATTACATACCTCTCAAGTGATGGTGCATATAGCAAAACAACACCGCCCAACGTGGGGCTCGAACCCACGACCCTGAGATTAAGAGTCTCATGCTCTACCGACTGAGCTAGCCGGGCTGTTAATGGCTTTTTCATTTTGCATACTTACGAGGTATTACTGCAAAGCCCGACAATGTTAGATAATATGTATCATGGAAATAAGTAAGCTCAAATAAGTTAGCTTAATCCGACACGTGGACAGACATTTAGTTTTTTACCTTTTTATTCACTTGGCTGCATGTTCGCAATCTGAAACACTCTTATCGGAGCATCAACCGATAAAAACAACCATCATAAAATAAAACGAACCTAAAGTTTGACATGTAGCTTTTCAACCACATCTGAATTACTAGTAGTATGACGGTGCTAAGAACATTTCGTAATTTCCTATTTCAAATCATTAGCTACGGAATCACGTCATCGTGTCGCTAATAAACCGCTGATGTCGTGTCGTGTCGCTGATGAAATATCTCGAAACGTCTTTACGGATGCTGTACCCCAAAACTAAATTGATGTAAATTTAAAATGGTTAAAAATATAATAATATAATTTGTCATATTCAGATTTAGCAATACGCCAGCAGGGGTCGCCACGTACACAGTACAAGATTACTGTAGCTATTGTTTAATGAACCAATTGTGGCACTTGTGGACCTGTGCTAGATGACATAGAACATAATCCATACACAAAGGTACTTGTGAAAGGCAACGAGGCTTCGCCTTAATTTAAAGTTGATTATTCGATTTTAGAAACCTACATGAATCACACGGAAATTCATTAAATATGTAGAATGTAATTGCAAGGATTAAGTGAGAATTTTCTGGACTTTCAAAAGTAAAGCAGCAGACCTGACAAAGCGAATAATGACTGTTTCAGCTGGAGCTTTGTTTCACCTGTGTGTGAATGCGTGTATGAATGGGTGAATGTGAGGCATAACTAAAGCACTTTGAGTGCTCAAAAGAGTAGCAAAAATGCGTTATATAAATGCAATCCATTTACCATTTACTTTAAAGAAGGGTGAATCAGAAATCTCTCTCAATCACTTTATTAACATATATTTAAAATTTCTAAAATTAAGCATATCAAAAATCCAAATAAT